ATGTATTTATGGAGCAGAATACCTAGCTAATCACAAGCAATTATCACTTGAAATACATGAAGCTCACTGTCAGTGGTTTTAGAGTAACAAACATTATTTCCAATATGTGCCCTTAGTTAAATTCTAACAGTTACACATATTGAAATACTCCTAGAGTATACCAGGAAGAGTCAGTATACTTTCAACTACAACCTGCACACTAATTATTCTATTGGTAAATATGAGACATATATGAAATACAGTCAATAGCTAGTGATCAAAATATGATATCATATGTATTTTAAATTATAGCTTTTGATCTCTAAAGCAAAGAATTCTACTGTTACACCATGTTTTTTATTCCATAAGCAACATTTTCTAAAATATGTGATAAACTATAGATATTAAGACATGAAGAATGCATTTTTTAATCTCCTGGCACTAATTCGGAACACTAATATTTCAAATTTCAGAAAAATTCAAATCAAATAAAAGTGTAGTTTCAATTAAAGGAATGCAAAAAATGATCAAATTAAAATAATACATTTCTGTAAAGCAAAACTTATAAACAAAGTCAAAGGGTAAATTGCAACTGTTAAAAAACATTATTGGTGATATTGCTGGCAAAGATTTATTGCATCTATTATGTAATTATTGACTAGTACTGATAAGTTTAAAAGAGTAACAAAAGGGCCTAAAGAGTCAGTTATTAAAAAAAAGGAATATTCATGTCCCCTCAACTACAAAAATGTGATCAATTTCATTCATAATAAGACAAACATATATTGAAAGTACATAGAGATGCAATTTTTCACCTATTTACAAAATTCAAGTCTTACAATCCCATTTGTTGGCATTGCTATAGAGAAATAAATATTCTTACACATCACTGACAGAGGTGTAAAGTACACTACCACCTATGGAGGAGGATAGGTAACATCTACCAAAATTAAAGATTTTTTTTATTTTTAAATCAGAATTCCACTCTGGAAACCTCTCCCTTCAGGGACATCTATACCTTTGCTAAATGATGTGCATACAAAGACATTCATTACAGTACTGCCTGCAATGCAACTAAACAACAGCAATAACAACAAAAATACCAAGAGCTAATAAACATTCATTAAAATAACCTTGGGAGAGGGCATGCCAGTGAAAGAGGTGAACTTAAAGACCTCCTCAAATTCACACTTCCGTAAAAGAAATGTTTGATGACAGAGATTTTTGTGTCAATAATTTCAAATAATTATCACAGCCATTAACAAGACTACAAAAGGCTATACTTTATAGAGCCCTTTCCAGTGAATTACCACATTTGAGCATTACAATAGGCACTGAGATAGAGTTCTGTGTAAATGAAGTTCATCTTCATTTACATAACCTGCTTCATTTACATAACCTGCTTCCAGAGTGTTCATTCACAGTCTACTAGGTGAGGCAGCAACCTTGAAAAGGGGTTCCAAATATTTTCTGTAAATGGTCATTAGTAAATACTTTAGACTTTGTGGCTCTTACTTTCTTTCACTGCTTCTCGATTTTGCCATCATAGCTTGAAAACAGCTACATAAAATACATAAATGTGAATCTAGTTGTATTACAAAAAGCCATCATTTTTAGAAACTGAATTTGGTTCTGTGTTATTTCCATGTATCACCAATAATACTTAAAATTTCCAATAGTTATTATTATTATTATGCAAGCAACACCAGCATAACCACAGACAGTGGTTTAACTGACCCACAATTTAAACTATAAACCAAACTTTATAACACACTTGATTTAGAAATATAAAACAATATTTCTCAGTGTTACATGTAAGGAACTAGAAATGGAGGAAATCAAAGACACTCACCAGTTGTAATACAGATAAAAAGAAAAGAAACCCTAACTCAGACTCCGCTGTTTACTGAGTAATTCTCATTATCTCATGAAAGCAATGAGTCTACCCTAATGATGGGTGTCATACATGGCCTGCATTTTAGGATGTGTGTGATATTTTATATAAAATTAAATTCTTAGTTATAATGGAATTCATTTAGCTCTGTTCAAATTTTGAAAAATAAAAGATGATGATCTATATCAGTTATTATATAATTTTTGGAAATGAGAGAACACTTTTGTTGTAAAGCTATAATTACATTACCATATAGGTTTTTTTTTTCTGGGAAGAAAGAACTTACTTACTAACAAATGTGCTATTATATCTTCCTGACCCTAAACTTTCAAGTATTTTAAAAGATCTTTAATAAATCAATGAGTTCAAATCCAAGTACATATATAGGTATATATAGATACATAGACACACACTACACACAATAATTTTGGTATTTAATTTCTCATGGCTTTTACATTCTGAAAAACTTATGAATTGTCAATTACGCATACCTGTATATATGTATAATTGCATATATTTAAAATGTAGATGTTGTATACATAATACATGTGTGTATATATATAGATATATATATACTATTTACCATTAGAAATGTCCTTAGCCTTATTAAAAAAGAAAAAAAAAACTCTTATTAGTGAGTAATGTGTATTGCCCAATGTCAATAAAATAAGTTCCCTAGTAATAAATCCAATCATTGGTAAGAAAACTCAAAGAAAATTTTAAAAATTATAAAAGAAGTTGGTAAGTATCAAACAGTTTGGCTTGAGCTCTTACGAGCAGTTTCAGATGTTCTGTAATGTGAAATATAACAATAGATATACAAAATTATAATCCAGAGCTTAAGGATGATGGAAACAAACTGATAATGTAGGAAATATATTAATAATAGAACTGTATTGTATGATTATTATTTTATTTTTGTTGACAAAAATCCTGCGGACATTTCTGTGACAGAGAGGGGTAAAAAGGAGATCATTTTCAGATCTTTGGATGTGTTCCCTTCTCATGCTCATAGAAACTGTAATGATTTTATCTTCTACTCAGGAACACTTTGAAAATATATGGTTGATTCATTATGAATGTATTTATATGTATGTAATAATGTATTTATTTTATTTAAATATAAATTATTTTCTCTAATAAAAATAATGGGGCTGGAGCACATTATTATAAGTACATATGTGTTGTTGGACATTGAAAGTTGTTTTTTTTTTCAATTTTCACAATCATGTATGTATGTATATACATTTTTAGAGGGTGATGTATGAGGGGAATGAGCCTATACAATCAAGTTAGAATTGCTCACAAAGGCAGCAGAAAATTGAGAAAGAAGATTATGAGTAAAGGGATACAAGTCAGATAGGGAATAAGAGGAACATACCTAAAGGGTGTGACCCTTTAATTTGTCTGTTAATACTACTAGAATGGACCCTGATTTCTTCAGAACCTTCACAAAGGAACAGTTTCCCAGCTCTCACCACCTCCTGGTGGCTAACAAGCTCTCAACCATATGTTCACTGGTACCCAAGCCCAGAAAGATTATTTGTAACTAAACTACTGATTGAGATTTCATCTTTTACTAAAACTAGGTAAACCATCAAAAACTGAGAAGCTATCTGATCTTTCTCTTCTTCTTTCTAGCAAATTTGATTTTGATTTTTAATTAAATTAAAATGACAAAAAATAAACACAACAAAATATTTTAATAACATATATATATATATTTTTTCCTTTTGGAATACTCCAAAAAAGAAACACTTTTCTGTTACTTTCCCTGTCCCCCTCCTTTTCAAGGAGTGAAAGGGTTATAGAAAAAAGATTTTGAAGTTCATAACAAAAATAACTCTACAGTAATTCATTATTATGTTTTTACTTTAAGTATACTTATTTTCATTTACTTTATGGAATACACCATAGGGAAAACATGTAGGATAAAGATAAGGGGTTTTTCTTCTTGTTTTGATATGCATATCAGAGAATGATAGAGTTGTTCCAGATCGTTTTGTTCTTCATATTCTGACTCCATAGCTCCTGCCTTGTATGGAAAATACAGCTGCAACCCAGATCCTGTTGGATGAGGGATGGAACAGATGGTTGTGCTACTGCACTGCCTACACATTAGGGAAGCACCCTGGCTTTGGATGGAGTACTTTTTTTTTTAGCACTAACAGTGCTAAAGTGAAAATAAATAGTCAAGCAGGGAGATAGAAGTCACGGAGCCTGTAGACATGAAGGTTCTACTGCTGTGCTTGCTTCTTTTCCCATAGGTACTGAACCAACCTAAGTGTGGCTGCTTGCCAGTAATTTATCAGAAGACGGTCTCCCCACTTCCCATGCTCTTCTTTACCCTGGAGCCCTGATGACACGTGCTTAAACTGCCCCTTATTACTGAGCGCACAATTTCCTAAAGGGTTTGACCAGCCATTAAATTGTCTTGCTGTATGTCTGAGAGAAAGGAACAGTGGTCTGAAGTTCCTGATCATTTTATCAAATTCATTCTTTGGGGATTTTAACAAAACCTATGCATTGAGTATATATTTAATCTACATTTAAAATATAATTCTATGTGTATGGAAATTAATTTGGGGGTTTGATAAAATATCCATGTGCTTTTAAATGCTGACAAATTCAAGTGCAGCCTTTGTAACAATTAACAAAAATATATTAGAAGTCATAGAGTTTCTTAGCTTTATGTACAACAGCAGTAGATTAAAAAAAGAATCTGTAAATATCAATGTGCCAAGAAATGACATGGTGAATTCTAATACGCCTTCACGGTGCTAAAGACAAAATTACTGAATTATGTCTACATTTTTGTGTAGAATTATGTCTACAATTGTGTCTACTGAAAAGTGTTTACATTTTACATGAGAGAACAGAAAGAGTGATACGCTGGTAAAGAAAATTTGGTGTAATACATGTGAACTGATGTTTAAGGAAATGTGCCATGCTTGGTGATGCTCATATTTTATAATCATTATTTCAAAATATTCAGAATAAGAAATAACATTCTATAACATAATTTACTTGAAGTTCCATATCTCTTCAAATCCAACTCCAGCTCCACCCTCATCTCATCCCTCAATTTCCCAGGAGAGGAAAAAACAAACAATAAACAAAAACTTACTTTTCCAACATACTGTGGATCTGGTCCCATATGTTCTTCTAAAACAAAGAACTGATTCCAAACCCACCCCCTTTTAGGACGGTGGTGGACTTCGGTTTCACCTTCGATGTGTTTGGTTTGGTTTCTGGTCCCCTTGATGGAGCTGTGGTGAGTGGCCCCATAACACCTCTGCACAAAACAGAGACACACGAGGACTGGGCAGATGCAGGAGGTGCTCGTAATTTTCATTGTAAAAGAACTTTCCAGTTCACAGCCTTCTTGCTTTTCCTTGTCAGCTACAAACGCCTAGTGAGCATTCGAGAGAGAAGCCAAAGCATCTTCTGGAAGGACAGTCCGAAGAAACTTGTTTAGCATGTCCATGATTTAACAGCCCATCAGGGAAAAGTCAGGCTACATTTACATCCTGAAACACTTAGAAGATCAAAGCTGTAGTTGTCTGTTTCTAAGTCTTCACAGGTGGTGAACAGGGGTAACCATTTTCTACCTGATAGAAAGAAAGAAAATTATATACATTACAAAACATGCCAATTTTAAGTATTTGCTCAGAATACAAATTATACTGTTTTGCAGGGTGATGCTGATAGATGAAGAATATGTGCAAGTTCTTTTGGAAATAAACATAAACATACACAGTCATGCTTAAGTCTGTACATGGTATTTTTACATGGACATACATATTTGTATTTTAAATCTCAACTTTACACATATAGATATATGTATATATTTAATTATTCAAAACAACAGAAATGCAGTCCTAGAGAGCTTAAAAATTGACCATGAATATGTGCCTTACAAAATGTGATCTATTAGGGACTCCACACTAAGTGCAAATTTTTAATTTTGTTTTTGTGTTTATTTTGCTTTTGTTAGATGTAATACAACTTAATATATAGATCAATCACCTATTACGTATGACTCACAGAACTTCACAGAATATTCCCTCAGGTTGAAAATTTTTCACAAACTATCACAGCAATCAAGTAGGTACTTAAAATCTTTAGTAAGCAAAATAGAAGAAAGAAAATGGCTGAAAAAATATATGCTATTGAAAGTCACTCTACATCTGGGATAAGATTAGCACAACTGAACAAGTAAGAATATCAATGACTGAATTCTAGCTTGCTTGGATTTTAGTAGGCCTGGAGATGATGCTCTAGAATGCGGTCTTCACCTTCAGGCAAGAGAGATTCAAGCTTAGAATGACACTACATAATTCTAGCAGCAATGCAAAGAGAGGTACAATATAAGGGGGAAAAGATGGTGGCAAAAAGAACAGAGGAGGAGATACTTTGCTTTTCAAATAAGGAATGCTGAGGACTTGAAATTAAAAGGAATCAAATCAAAAGATGCTTACTCCTTGGAAGGAAAGTTATGACCAACCTAGATAGCATATTAAAAAGCAGAGACATTACTTTGACAACAAAGGTCCGTCTAGTCAAGGCTATGGTTTTTCTAGTGGTCATGTATGGATGTGAGAGTTGGACTGTGAAGAAAGCTGAGCACCGAAGAATTGATGCTTTTGAACTATGGTGTTGGAAAAGACTCTTGAGAGTCCCTTGGACTACAAGGAGATCCAACCAGTCCATCCTAAAGGAGATCAGTCCTGGGTGTTCATTGGAAGGACTGATGCTAAAGCTGAAACTCCAATCCTTTGGCCACCTCATGTGAAGAGTTGACTCACTGGAAAAAACCCTGATGCTGGGAGGGATTGGGGGCAGGAGGAGAAGGGGACGACAGAGGATGAGATGGTTGGATGACATCACCTACTTGATAGACATGAGTTTGAGTAAACTCTGGGAGTTTTTGATGGACAGGGAGGCCTGGCATACTGGTATTCATGGGGTCACAGAGTCAGACACAACTGAGCGACTGAACTGAACTGAACTGAATGGTTATTCCATCTAGTAAAAAACATTCGATGTATTACTTTCTCACTCCATAAAGTTCACCTTTGCAAATCAGAGCAAACTGAAATGTAGATCTAAATGAATTACAAGGTGGTTGACATAAAAATATAAATGGTTTAAAAAACTGAGTATAAATAATCAATCATGGCATAACCATTTTTCTCATTTGGGAAAAATGTTGACACTAAGTAGGGGGATGAAAAAACTACAAGACCCAGAGCAAGGTACTTTTCTCTATGAGTGTCTCTCACCATGGACTTCTCTGGTGGCTCAGGTAGTAAAAGAACCCGCCTGCAGGGAGACCTGGGTTTCATCTCTGGGTTATGAAGATCCCCTGGAGGAGGGCCTGGCAACCCACTCCAGTATTTTTTCCTGAAGAATCCCATGGACAGAGGAGCCTGGTGGGTTACAGACCACAGGGTCGCAAAGAGTCCTACACAACTGAGTGACTAAGCACACATATCTCTTCCCATAATTAAAGTTAATAAAAATTCTTACTTCACCAATTGTGCAAGAATTATACTGAATTTGAATTGAAATTTTATTTTAGTTGCTGCTGCTGCTAAGTCGCTTCAATCATGTCCGACTCTGTGCGACCCCATAGACGGCAGCCCACCAGGCTCCTCCGTCCCTGGGGTTCTCCAGGCAAGAACACTGGAGTGGGTGGCCATTTCCTTCTCCAGTGCATGCATGCATGCTAAGTCGCTTCAGTCATGTCTGACTCTATGCAACCCTATAGACAGCAGCCCACCAGGCTCCTCTGTCCAGTTACTAGAAAATATAAATTGAAATCTGAAATATTTTCAAGGGCAAAGACACATTTTGATTGATTTAAATTAAAATGACTCAACAACGCTTCTAACACATTAAAAAAAAGGAGTAAATACCATTCTAACTCCAACATGGTAAAAGCAATGGAAAGAAAGTCCAAAAACAGAGATTTTCTCTTTTTTTTTTTGAAAACTTATTTACAATGTGCACTCACATGAAACATCTAATTTTGAGTCTCAATTTTCTCATTTGTGACTTGAATAATTTATTTGGATAGTCTTCCAGTTTATCTAATAAATTATTTGAATCAGTTTTATTTTTAATTTATGAAAAGTTTCTTAATTTGGGGGACTTCTCTGATGATCCAGTGGCTATGACTCCACACTCCCACTGCAGGGGGCCTGGGTTCCATCCTTGGTCAGGGAACTAGACCCTCATGACATAACTAAGCTCCAGTGCAGCAAAATAAATAAATATATTTTTAAAAAACTTTCTTAATTTTCAACTCGTGCATCTCAAAAAAGAGACTTTCTTCTTAGAAGTCATGTTGATTAATATATAGAAGGTGTTGCTTTCTTAATGTCTTCACACCATTTGGTGTGATTTTTAAATGAAATTAACATCTTTGCCCTTTATGCCAAGTTGTTTAACAAAGCATAATTCATGAGTAGAAGGTGAAGAAAGTGGCTTTTGCAAGGCACTACAGATACATAGAATGAGTGATTTCTTTGCAATAATTATCTTGTATGGCATCCCCAAAGTACATAAATGCAATTTAATGTACCTATGTATTATTTGTTTCTGAATCTCTATTATGACAATTATAAGAAGCAGTAAGTGAGGCCCCACGGAACAAAAGAGCAAATGTAAACATCACGACTGTACTTGTGAAAGTAACTTCATTTACTACATAATGAGAGGGCAGAAATCCAAATGTGAAAAGTGTCTGTTCTATTTCAATAAATCCATCCCTGTATAGCTTAGAATTAAAATGTGAATAATAATAAATAAACCACTGGTTGAAAACAACACAATAGAAATACATTACAGCCATTCGCTATTTTGTTGTTGCTTTTTAACTAAGCAGCATTCAAACACCTTTCCTACTTGCCTGGAACTCCCTAGTATATGAAATGTGATCAACAGAACCCTAAGCCTAACACCTGAAGGGACAAGATCTCTTAGTTAGAACTTGCATCAGTGGCATGTGCATATTAATGACAGGCTTCAATGCCCTGGAGCAGATGACTGATGGATGTAGGGACAGATAAGGCATTTTTCACAGCAGTGGTAAATGATTTAAGGGCCAGATGGAGTCATGGTGAACTTAGCGGCCATGATGGTAAGAGTTTGGTGGCCACTGCATCAATTAAGGGTCACTTCGGCTGCATAGTTTCAGTGGCGAGTACCTGACGTTGTTTCTTACTGCCTAACTTCTACTGGTTCCTGTGCGGTGTGTTGCCTTAGTTGCTCAGTTATGTCCGACTCTTTATGACCCCATGGGCTGTAGCCCACCAGGCTCCTCTGTCTGTGGGGATTCTCCAGGAAAGAATACTGGAGTGAGTTGCCATGCCCTCCTCCAGAGAATCTTCCCAACCCAGGGATCGAACCCAGGTCTCCCGTACTGCAGGCCGATTCTTTACCATTTGAGTCACCAGCTAAGCCCATGAATACAGGAATGGGTAGCCTATCCCTTCTCTAGGGGATCTTCCCAACCCAAGAATCGAACGGGGGTCTTCTGCATTGCAGGCAGATTCTTTACCAGCTGAGCTACTAGGGAAGTCCCTATTGGTTCCCACTTCTTGCCAAACCTGATTTTTAAGGCCTTGCACCAGTTTTGATGGCTACATAATATTCTTCCAATAAACTGTTTTGTTGCTTTCCTTGGTCAGAGTTGGTTTTTGCTGTTTGATAATGTAAACATTCTCTGATAAACGCCATAACACTGTCAGAATCCTCTAAACATGAATATAGCATTACCTACACTAATGTGACATGCGGACTAATTGAGATGATTCAACACTGCCTCCATAAACTAGTACCCCTGCTTCCATAACTACTCTTCTGTAGTGAAGTTACTGTACTGAGTCATGCCCTCAAATGCTCATTCTGTAGAAAACTATCTGTTTATGAGCAGTTTATTCTCGGAGCTTCACATCTGTCATTTAAGAATAAAAACTTTCATTGAATTATCTTTAAGCATGCTCAGCTAAATATTTGAATTTATGATTTAATCACTGAGTATCATTTAAGACTTTTCTTTTGCTGACTTTTGTGAGCATCACCCAAGATTCAATAATGGGCCATTTACAGATTTTAAGTATAATCATTCCATCAAAGGGCTTGGTGGAAGAACCATTCTCAAAGAAAAATACTATCACATTTATTACACATGTATTGCTTTTAACTTGGACCTTTGACTGGATTTTCTTTCCTGTTCATTCTCAATTTATAAATCTGGAAAACCAAAGCAGTCTAGAGAATACTTCTGTTTATTTTTTTTAAGAAGATTTCTTTGCTCTTTTTCTTGTTTTGAAAATGTCTGTAAAA